CCCCCCCCCCCCCCAGAGTCCACCTGTGTTTGTGAAAGGTTGTGGTCCATACGTGGACGTGAAAACTACACAAGCACAACATGCCCGTATAGGACATACAGTACGATCATCACACAGCTGTCAAAGCAATATCGAGATCATTCTCAGAGGAGCCGCGCTCGTGAGTCTTTCTGCAGCAGTGACATGTTTGTCTGGTGGTACCGTGCATCCCTGCAACCATATCTATCTCCTGGAACCGATCGCGGAGCCAACGGCGCCCTCTCGAGAGTTTCCTCGAGCGCTTGCGAAGTGAATACGACGATGCGTATGCATGCATGTGTGTCGATGACACAGACAGGTATCACCAAATCAGTAGTCTACATTTCGACTTCACTACATGTGGCAGTAGACTTAACCAATTTTTGTGTCCTATACCAGCAGGGCCTGTCTTGTATGCGCTTCGATCTCCCTCCTTGTCTGGTTGTGTTAGCTGTGTAGGTGGGTACTCACTACGGCATTGAAACTCTACTCCATTTTTTTTTGGTCGAGGTCCTCTTTTAGTTTCTCTCGTGCCCCTCGACCACAACCTCCAGCTGAAACACGGAAACGTTTCAGCCCAACTCGAGGCGTCGTTTTCCTGTACTTCCCCGTCTATGTTGCTGCGTGTTGTGGCTGCCTTGCCCGATTCAACCCGTAAGGCTGGACGCTTTTGGCCGCTGACTTGTGAACGTTCCTTCATAACGCCTCTCCTGCCGCCCCCTGCGTTGGTCTTCTTCCCCGTGCCGCCGTCCGCGTTCTCTCTTTTACCCCACGGTATCGTCCAGATGGACACGCCGTTCCGCACCACCTCGGCGCCCCCCGCGGAACAAGCGCAGTTCAACTACCAGCAGATAGCGTGGCGCAATCAAACGCAGATGCAGATGAACAACAATGCGGCTGCCGCCGCCGCTGCCGCCGCGGCCGCTGGCGGCGGTGGCCCTCAGCAGCAGCAGGGGATGCAGGGAGGTCCTATTCCCGGAGGCCCCGGTCCGGGGGGGGGACAGATGGTCCCCGTCCCCGTTCCCGGCGCGGGGCCGGGGATGGCGGCCAAGGGGGCGGGAGGGGCAGGAGCACCCCATCCGGGACAGGGGCAGCAGCAGCAGCCACCGGGCGCCCAACAGCAGGTACTGAATGTCATATTACACGTGGAATTGATAGATGCGGCGAGATTGTTGTCGTGTGCTTGCGTGTGTTTGAACTCTTGAAGTGTCCAGCAAGGAGGCGTGGGCAGTTCCTTCAATGGAGGCTTTGGGAGGTGATGTAGCGTTAGTGCTCGTGCCCTCGAGGTGGTCGTGGAGTCTGCTCGCACTGAGATGCGCATGATGTTTGGTAATTCGAGGCCAATGTTTCACCACGTGTCGAGCAACGTATTGTAACATGTCAACATTTCACCCCCTTTTGTTCGAGTCTCAGCATTTCTCCTCCCCCACTCACGCGTGTGTTCGCATGCGATCATCGGGACCGCCTCTTTTGTCTCCTTTCGATCCGTCTCTCGCGGTTGTCTCTCGGTCGGGTTAGCCTCGGGGGATGATGGCTGGCGGCAGGCCGCACATGGGGCAGCCTGGCCCTCAGTACCAGAACAAGCAACAACAGAACCACCAGCAGCAGCAGCATCCGCACGGCCACAACGTGAGAAGAAGTGCTCGCGAGAATGAAGAGGGCGTAGAGTGGATGTAGCTCGAGGGTATGCAAGCGATATGTGTTTTTGTTTGGTGTTGGGTCGAGGCGTTAGCTGCTCGGCGGCGTACGCAGTTGAGCATTTGACGAGGTCGCGGACGACGTACGTCGTTGCTTTTTACCCTCTGTGGTCCTCTGCTGTGCTATGCTTTGCTTTGCTGTACGCTGCCGTTGATGACTGCTCTCGTTGATTATGTTGGCGTCCGTCTGCTGTTCGTGCCCCCCCTCGTGTGGCCGTGCGGCCTTACTCCCTCGGGCTGTTGTGGTCGCGCAGATGCAGCAGCGAGGGATGATGCCGCAGCAGGCGGGCGGCAGAATGGGACCTCGAGGAACCATGCAGCAGGGGCAAATGCACATGCAGCAGGTACTGATTCAGACACGAAACTATTGAGGGTTGGTTGTTGTTGGTGCTGAGATGGCGTTGTTGTTGATTTTGCGACCCCGTGTCTCGTCCCCGCACCGTTGTAGGCGGGCGTGCTGCCTTACAATCGCCGCCCTTTTGTATCCGCAGGTGTCCGGCTCTGAGGGTGACCGCCGTTATCGTCAACTCCACGCCTCCCCCGGTGTATGTCTGCTTGCTCCCACGCCAAGCGTCTGCGTTGAGTCTAGCCATGAGTTAGTCCCTATTGTCACCAAAGACTCCTCGTTCGAGTATCAAGCGCACCGTGTTCGGATTAGGCTGTGTTGTTGCTGATTGCTCGCGCCAGACGGCAGTCCCAGTGGCGTGATGGCTCACCTTTCAATCACACGACGTCCTCGTTCTCTGCCCGATCGTTCCCTCCATCTCCTCTGTTTTTTTCTTGTTTGAAACTGTATGTACAATCAATGACGAGACCATCCGTTCGAGATAATTCCACATTCGAAATGATTTTTTTCTCGTTCCTGTTCCTTGTCGGCCGATGCGGCACACGACATGCCGGTTCGGTCCCTCCTTTTTTCTCTGTTTTTTCTTGTTTTCATCTTCCTGCCAATTTGGCGGTAGATGCGAGGTGGTCCCACCGCGGGTGGATCTCCCCGGAGAACGGGCATGGCAGCGGGCTCTTCTCAGCAGATGCCCATGATGCGTCCGGGTGGGCCCCAGCAGGGGGCGCCAGGGTCCGCGGGCGGTGGAATGCCGCTCCAGCAACAACAGCAACAGCAGCAGCAACAACCGCAGCAGCCGCAGAAGCACGGGCAGCCGCAGCAGCAGCAGCAGCATCAGCACCAGCACCAGCACCAGCAAGTCCAGCCGCAGCACCACCCCCAGCACCCCCAGCAGCAGCCGATGATGTACCACCGAGTGCCCATGCAGGTGTGCTTTGTAGTGGAAGATCGTGAACGCTCGTGTTGTGTTGGGAGGTAACGTTGAATGTAGATGAGATTGGTTCGAGGGGAGTTCCGCCCCAGGGGGTTTGCGCAAACCTGTCTCGCAGCATGCTGCAACTCAATTCGTGTTAATTTATGGTGCGGTGGTGCGTGTGTGCTCTGGTCAAGGCAGTTCAAGGCGAGCTTGAGGGAGCCGTGATGCTGTTGTTTGTTGCTGTCGGGAATGCGGGCTTCTTTTCTTTCGTCGTGATGCACGAAAAGTTGCCATTTTGTCGTTGCGCTAGCCTAGCCCGCCACGCTGCGAGACTGCCGGGCAGCGTACGCGGCAGTACAATGGCAGTCGAACCGAGGACCGTGCGTGCACTACTGCATTCATGTGCTAGGCGAGCCGCGACTTGGTTCATTCTCCCGCATACCCACAGCTCCCCCCCCCCCCCCCCCCCCCCCCCCCCCCCCCCCC